TACTTTTCTTGCCGACAGCTCCTTACCTCAACACGTTTTTAATATTATGGTCTTCATGTTAACCAGGCCTTCCCATGGCATCTCCCTGTGGCTAATTAGCCTTGCATGAGCAACACATGCACATGGCTAATTTAGCATTTATTTCTCCATCACTGTTTCTTGCACTGTACTTTACACATGCTGTTTACATGCTCAATTAAACTGTGGACTTCACCACAAAGCTTTGCTAACATGCCAGCAGCATCCCTGTGTTTAGCTGCAGTTGTAAACCAATCCCTCTGTTTTTCTATTTGCTGTAAATGTGGTTAATATGGACGGGGGCACTCGAAGTGATTCGAGTCAACCACTTAACGGCTGAAGAACACTCACTCGTGTTCTGTATGACCCCTCGCTCTCTCAGACGCTCTCTTGGCTGAATTTTCATCCATTTTCAGTGTCTTTGCTCTGCCATATGATGACAGTTGTCTATGATTCACATGGCACTTGCAGAACTACCTCGCTGACTGACCCTCGGCAAGCACCTGTACTGAAAACCATTTAACCTTCACCCTGTACTCCTAAAGAGCTAGAGCTGTGGGTTTTTAATAAAAAAAAAACAATTAAAAACAAGAAACAACTGCAAAGCATATACTGTTTTTTTGTTTTTTTGGTTTATGCTCAAAGGCTTAAAAGTTGTCTTTTCTGAAGTTCCCACATTTGTACTAGCTAGCTAGCTACCCACTCTTTGGAAAATCCCCGAAAGCTTCTTTTCTTTCCAGGACTCGTGGACCTGTGATTATACCACCTGGGAGAAAATGCAACACTAGTCTTTCACTTCACTAATTTTTGGGACTTTAGATCCATTCACCCTTAATGGTGCATCTAGCTTTGCCTTTTGGACTTAAAAGAGCATTTGTGCTATGTTAGAATGCGGGAGGAAGATTGACAGTGACAGAGCTGCTTCCTGTTACATTTTATGAACATTTGTTGCACTTTTGAACACATGCAATGTCAAATTAATTTACAGTAAATGCCTTAATCACACTGTGTGCAGTGGTTAGCAATGCCACCTCACAGCAGCATAGTCTGGGTTAAAATCCTGGGTTCTCTCTGGTTATTTTAGCATGCTCCTGTAGTCCAAAGACTTACTTGAGTTAGGTTGACTGGCAATTTTAAATTTGCCAAAGGTGTGAAAGTGAGCGTGAATAGTTGTCTCTCTGTGATAGCCTTCTGATAGACTTTTGAACTATCCAGGGTGGACAGTACCTGGACAGCTGGGATAGCCTCCAACTACCCTGTGACTCTGAACTAAATAAGTGGAAGTAAATAGATAGATGGATGGTATCTGATTTACCAAATGAGAAAGATTTTCAGTCTGCAACTATCGGTTGTCAGTTTTTGCTATTACAAAAATGAGATTACCAAGTGACACAGTCATTAAAACCTGTTCTAAATGCTGAATGCATCTGACAAAATCAAGTCTTTGTACTCCCACAAACTGAATGCAAAAATGTGGGCTACTGTGCTATTACAGGTATTTCTCTGTGAGATAATGAGCCGTTACAGTCACACATGAATCCAGGCTGTGAAAGCCACATGCCCAAAGTTAGTGGTGCATTTTCTACTGTACTCAACTTTCCTGAGCTTCATGCTACATTTCAGTGCCAAGCTATGTCCAAGAAGAAAATGTTGCATTAGTGTCACATACATGGGTACCTGGGACCATTATCCTCTGCTTGCCAATACCCTCTAAATATCTTTAGGAGGGTATTGGCAAACACTATAAGTGGGAGAGGATAATTTGTTCTTAATTTTTCACAAGAAAGTTATGATTCATTTTTTAAAATTAGGTTGTATTTTTTCAGTAGCCCTCCTGAGTCCTATGACCAGCCAGTTGTGTGTATGGGGGCGATCGTGGCTCAAGAGTTGGGAGTTCGCCTTGTAATCGGAAGGTTGCCGGTTCGAGCCCCGGCTCGGACAGTCTCGGTCGTTGTGTCCTTGGGCAAGACACTTCATCCGTTGCCTACTGGTGGTGGTCAGAGGGCCCGGTGGCGCCAGTGTCCGGCAGCCTCGCCTCTGTCAGTGCGCCCCAGGGTGGCTGTGGCTACAATGTAGTGGATGACTGGATATGTAAAGCGCTTTGGGGTCCTTAGGGACTAAGTAAAGCGCTATATAAATACAGGCCATTTACCATTTATTAATCTGGCAACTCTGAGGCAAACATTGTGCTTTTTCTCACCTTTGTTGCCGAGTTCAGATACCATAACTGATGCTGGAATTAATCATGTCTCATTGTTGTTAGGAAAGCTGGCGAGTCATGTATAGTATTGACCACCTCTGACACATTACAAATGGCAATCAATGGTTTTGTTTGTTGTCTTATTTTGCTTGTCTCCAAAGCTTCTCAAAGGAGCTAATGATTGGAGCTGATAATTGCTACCAGGCACATAACGTATTGACCCAAGCTCTGTAATAAGCCGGTTGAATGCAGCCAAAAAACATTCCATGCCGGAAAATTGATATAAATAGCATGTCTCTTTGTGTCCCCTCCAGGCGAGACAGTGTTGAGTAAACAAATTCTCCCATCCCATGCTATATTCCAAATCCCGTCAGCATTTTCATTAAAATGTCAATGTATAGCCACCGTGTGGACTCTATGTTGTGCATTCTAGCTCAAAAATGCCAACTGAACACTAATGTTCCCCAGGTTCGACTTAATTATATGATTCACACCTAAGATTCCAGCAGCATGGGGAGAAAAAAAAATCAGGCAATTTTTCTTTTTCCCACTGAGTTTTATGAGCGACTTATTATGTGATCAATCACATACAGCAAGAACAGACCAGAATCAATTAATAATTGAAAACCGTTAAAGTGCTAGAAGCACTGATTGGAATCTGCCTTAAGTCAAAGGCAGCTGGTGCGGAAGGGCACAGGGTTAAATAGACATGATTAATCAACCTAAGAATAGCATTTGCATCCATTTGAAACAATGCGTGTGTGTGTATATGTGTGTAGACAGTAGTGGTGTGTGTAGCTATACTCCAGACTAATTACACGTATGTTTGAAGTGTACTGTGCTTTCACATCAGGCAATTAGTGGCCAATTTAAACGTACTCACAGGTGTCACGTGGCTTTTATTTTGAGTGTGTTGTTGATGGATGTTCCCTCTGCCACGATGATGGCACAAAGTGGGCAAGTGAACTGCTCAGAGCTGAAAAACCTTTTTAAAAAATTGAATTCTAGATGCTGGTGAAGCAACCAAACATGCTCAAACTTTAGCTTCTGTTATTTAGCAGTGGAGTCCAAAGTTAGTTGACACTAAGCACAAAAACTGTACTTTATACAAATTATAGCTCTGTGTGAAAGTGGTACAGTAATTGTTTCTACTTCAAACTCTGCAAGTGGAATGGACTTTCTATTGAATTCTATTGAATTTTCATTGTGCAACACCAAAAGAAAATAATCCACCCAATACGAATGAGCCCACTAAGTCTCTGAACTTCCACCATTGACTATTTGACATCGTAACAATCGAGCTGCACTGCAGAAACGATCAAATGTATTGAAAGCTGCTTCTCTCCCCCCACCATGGAAATGTGGCAGTGCCTCTTTACTGCCATCTATAGGTGGCACCCAGTTATGACAGAGTTCTCCCAGTGATAGCAGCTTGAGTGTGGCGCTGCTGTTGGTTAGAGTCATTCTCCCTGGAGAAGCTGCAGCTAATCATTGCATCATTTCCTCAATTATTGACAGCCGCCCTGTTAAGTTCCCAGTGTTATAGAGAGAATTAACATCCATTAGAGTATTATTCAGCCTTCATCTGCGTGCCTGTGTGCGCCTGTGTGTTTGTTTCTGTGTGGGGTTTGATTTTGATTCTAACTAGACTCGCAGCTCCAAGGGCTGAGAACGAGGAGCTGAGACATGACAGGCTCATCAAAATGTCTCACGATGCCGTGTGACTACTGCTGCGTCGAGAGGCCCTGGCCTAAAATTGACCCTGTCCCCACTGAGTTGCCAATCACCGCTCATCACATTAGACATGTAGACACACTCAGCTCCACGGTGCTGTTGAGCTGCATCTCTGCTCCTGCTTTATTTTATTATTTTTCCTCCTCCCGTTTTCCTCTGACACAGTCTCACATACTTCAGATACCTGCCTTTCACTGCAGCCTTTAAAAACTTTCACTGGATCGCCTATTGTGTGGTATTATAGTGCCACTTACAATGGACCAGCACAGACAAATGGCCTCTGATTGTACTTTGCCTCTGTCACTGCCACCCGCTGCAAGTTTTTACTGTCCTCCAGGCAGCATATTGCCCCCCCGCACAATAGTCTGGTGTATCTTAGCGAGGGTGTAAAAAGCCTTGCATGACAAGTTTTGCAAGCAAAGAAAACACCGGCATTATTGAGTTATTTGCCGATTTCTGCTCGTTTTGAGCTTTTAAAATCCCGCATTGCACTGTTGTTCAATTCATATACCATTGTCGAGAGAGATAGCAGCAAATAGCATTACCTCAGGCTGAAAGGAATCCCGTTCATTGTGAGGCTGACTGACAAGCTTGTCACAAACAGCCATGTGCCTAATAGAAGGTATCAAGCCAATCTGTCTCTGAGCTTTGTGCGGCGGAATAGGCGTCTGTTGTTCTGTTGAACGGAAACTTTGAAAAGCAGTTAAAGTTGAATAAGAATATATAAACTGTTCTTTTCAGCTCTGACAATGCCTCTTATACAAGAACGAGCCAAAAACACATCTGAGGAGCGCTTTTTTTATACGGCAAGGGTTCATGCATGTAAGCCCGACACACAAGTGATGCAAACAGATAATGTAACAGAATCTCTTAAAGAGGGACAGAAACAGCCTACTTTGCTGTGGAAGGTGATGCGTTTTGGGAGCAATTTTCTATTATTATGTCTATCCAGTCAACAAATGTGAAACTTCTTTGTGTTTTGTAGTCTCACTTGCAATAACTAATCCATTCTCCGCTCTTCCTCTTTCTCTCTTTTGTTCTCTTACAGCCGCCCTGCAAGTGTCTATATCCTTGAACAAAGTGGAGTTAAGTGTCGGAGAATCCAAGTTCTTCATCTGCACAGGTACACAAATGGCATGACACCCACCCCACCTGCACGAGCTATTCTTTTTAAACTTCTCTATACTCTTTCTTTGAAACTTTTTTTCCCCTCCTTTGGCTCTTTGTGATGTCATGAGTGCAGAATGAGAGCCAATCAGAAGAAAGGTTGGCTTTAAAAGAAAACACAATCTGATATCCGTGTGTTTGTGTTAAACCTTTGTCCCTATCACTTTGATCATAGCACTGACATTCAGTGCTATGATCGCCAGACCGGTCAAACACCCCTTTTTGTTTGTGCAATGTTTTAACTAGAGATGGACCGATCCGATATTACTTATAGGTATTGGTCCGATACTGACCTAAATTACTGGATCGGATATCGGAGAAAAATAAAAAATGTAATCCGATCCATTAAATATCACGAACGCACCTCACAAAACTTGCAACACGCCGTAACTCACCTCAGAACGTTAGCACGTCGGAGCAGTATGCATCATGTGAGAGCGGCTGTGGCATGCAGGACCTGTCGATGGTCTGGATAGCATGTGGAGCTTCGCTAGCAACCCGGCATTTCATCTCCAACAAAGTTATCCCCGAGAGAAGTAAAGCAAGTGTGTAAGTCCATCTCTGAATGTTTGTAAAGCATTCCTGCGTTAAGCTTAACAAGCGATATATGGAGCGACTTCCTCTTCTTGCTGCTTAATGATCAGCTGATCGGCTTTTCTGTCGCGAGTCCGTCTCTCTTGTTTGTTTTTGGCCCACTTTGCACCAGAAAGAGGAAACCAGCGGCTGAACAACAGCAGCACATTTAAGCTTGATCAGCTGTTGTTAGAATTTATTTAATATTACTTTCTACACCAGGATCTTTTTCTACGTAGCTGACGCTGGTAACTGTGCAGGGGCGGATCTAGCAAAGTTTAGCCAGGGGGGCCGGTAGGGCATGAACAGGGAAAAGGGGGCACAAAGACATACTTTTCTTTCTTATTCTCATTTAAAATGTCGAGCTTTTAATAAATAATTATCTGACACCCAAAGTTTTAATTTGATGTAAAATGAATAGAAGTCAATTACTGTATATAGTAACTATTAAGTCTAATATATATACCCTAGTAAGCTATTGCAGTCTGCAATTTTGTTGAAGAAAGATGTTGAATCTATTTAATATTTCTTGAAAAATAATTGATTTCTGTGCATTTTTTTTTTCACACTGCATCAAATTAAGGTTGATTACGTCGACTAAGCATCATGAGGTGGAGCGTGAGGGGTGGTTCCCTATTTTTTTATTTTTTTATTTTTGTTGTTGCTGGGAGTTGGAACCCTATTAGTTAGGTTGCTTAATATTTACGCTAAGTACTCTTTAAAATACCAGAATAGGGAGGATGGTTTAAGTTTATTAGATTGATCAGTATTGCTGAACTATGAAATTTTTTTTTTTGCATACAGGTATAACAGAATAGCTTTAGTGTAGTTGTTGTTTTAAACTTGAGTATGAACTTATACAAAATGTAGCAAGATATTTAAAAAACAGTTTTGTTGATTAAAACACACTATATCGGATTCATATCGGTATCGGCAGATATCCAAATTTATGGTATCGGTATCGGACATAAAAAAGTGGTATCATGCCATCTCTAGTTTTAACTACACATTTAAGCCAGTTTAACATAAGAAAAAGAAGTGCAGTTCCAACAGTAAACCTCAGTCATATATAAATGCTGCTACACTAAACAAAAGAAATGTGTCAGCACAACTTTTTGGGCTTAAACTGTAATAAACCACTTGAGGCCAACTTGCCTCAAGGGACAAGGGGCTGTACTGAAACCTGCTTTTGCTGATGCTTTTATTACAACATGAGGACCTCAGTCTGTTATGGCATTATTGTGATGATGTAGGGTGTCATATTGAAAAAATAAAACATGTATTGTACAGCTCTCTCTACTCATATGATATATTACGTGATATGATTTGTTGAGAATATTTTTTAGGGTCAGCTTTTACCTTGTGTGGTGAACCCTTGTGAAGGTCAAGCTCAAATGCTTAGCCAAACTCATGTGCCCGAAGGTCTATTGATCCATAACAAACTGGTAGCAAAAATTGATTTTCACCTTGACTTGATTTTCACCAAAATTAAATGAGCTTGAGCTGTTATTGATGTCGACCATCAAAGAAACATCGAAAATGATATCTTGAAAACTGTGAACACTGGATTGTTAACATAAAGACAAACAAGCTGACCTGATTATGTCCTGTAATTACAAAACTGAACTCACAAAAATTTCATTTTTTGTAGACCCACTGTAAAAAAAAAAAAAAAAGTTATTAAAATACATTTAACAGTCCACAAAGTTAAGCCTTCTTCACATTTTCTAAAGTCATCCTGTGAGGCTGGACTGGAGTCTTTGCCAAGCTGATTCTAGGCCCCGGGCCTTATGTTTGACACTCCTTTCTTACGTCATAACAAAGCTGGTTTAGGATCAACATTGCACTGGACCAATCATATTGTCTGAGCTTTCAGTTAGCATTAGCCAAGAAGTTAGCTAAAGCTTCACTAGCAAACCATCCTGGGTGATCTAAATTTGGCTAACAGCAAACCTAACTTGATAACATATTTATTATACTGTATGAATTAACAAAGAATTTAAATGCTTACCAAATTCCTCATTGTTTTTTTCCTCAACACTCCAAAGCAACAATGTGATTGGTCAGTAGCAATGCTGATCCTAGACCGATGTTATTATGATAATTCAGGAACAATACCAACATGAGGATATCATACACCTTAAAAGGAGAAGAGATAAAATGACTTTCACTTCACTACAGCCCAGTATCAGATAAACAAGCATTATTTTGATTTGATGATGGTGCAAAAGTCAAAGAAGTAAAAGGAGGACGTTGAAAATGACCATAAAGGGTCTCTTTTTAATATTATGCATATGTATTGTATCTGTGACTGTTTGGAGGCAACGGTGGGAGTCTTATATCATCGCTCATGAATGTCTGTTTTTGTGACAGATAACATAAAACAATCCATAACCTCCATATGGTGAGGGACTCTTTGACCCCACTGTGACTCAATCCACACGGGGTCGGGGGGGGGGGGGGATGCTCCTGGCTTACCGTTCCTCCTTCTCATTGTCCTCTCTGAACATCATATCAACATAGCAGAAAACCCGATGGTGGGAGCCAGTGGCTCAGTGGGGTGGCGGCACACTCTGGCAGCCCAGGCCGTCCCCTGCTGACTGCCTCTTCTGCCCTGCCAACACACTCAGTGTGGAGCTAACAGCAAAGGGACTAGATACACGTACTGGGAGGAGCATCCAGGGGGCATCGAAGTCTAATACGAGCTTCGGTGGGACAGAAAAAAAACAGAAAAATAACCGAGGCGAATGGAATCAAACTGGCAGAGATTGAAAAGTTGGAGCTTTCACTGTGGAGAGCTCAGAAGTGAGAAGAATGGAAAAGGCTTTGAAAAAGAATTGTAGATGTAGGTGGGAGATAAGTTGCCACCATCTGCTGTCAAAGTGCACGGGAGGAGGTGTTTGTGTCACACGCTGCTTTCTTTTGGCCTTTTTCACCACAGGCGGCCACGCCGAGTCTGAGTTTTACCATATTCACATGCATTTCTGCCAACTGAGAAACAGTGAGAGACAAGAAAAAGAGAAAACTCAGTGAAACTGAGACCCACCCGCAAACAAGTAAAGTGACTTTTTTTTACCTTTCAGTCGCCACATAGCACCGAATGAATTAGGCCTATGTCAATATTGTGGCGAGCTCAGACAAGGAGGAGACACAATTCCGTTCGGTCTTGCTCCCCCACCCTCTTAGCCAGGGAGCACAGCCATTTATTTACATCTGCCAGAAGAACACTGCCGCTAGCTAACTGCTCAGCGCGGCAACAGCACAGCAACAACAGCAACACACAGGGCGCCCTCTGACCCCGGAAGGACACACCGTCGCAGCGAGAGGGCGTCACCCGTCACTATGGTAACATAAACAAAACATAACTGTAAAAACAGAACCCCGAACAGCCCTGACCCGCTACAATATCGATAAAAGGAAGGATCAGAAAGGGCAGAGAGGCAATTGTGTTGTATGTTGATTCACGGATTGGAGAGCAGCAATGAGTACGTTTCTCTTTAAAAAGACAAAAAGAATGTGAGTTGAAGTGATTTGTGTATTTGATGCCTGTCTTTCTTGTTCTGAAAAGTTTGCCATGAAGAACAAGCCAGAGGGTTACTGATAGACACATTCTTTATATCAAAAGATTACAACCTCTCTTTTTTCTTAAAGACATTAAAGCAAAGGTCAAAATAAGGTCAACTGTGAGTCAACGTGGTAGCCTGAAGGAAGAATCCTTTTATCATATTGGCTGAATGTCAGTGCTTTTGCATTATTCATGTCTGATCTCAAATCTTTCTTTTAAATAATTTCAGCTGAAACTTTATCAATTTCATTTATTTCAAAACGCCTCAGAAATGGCTTTTTAAGCCTTTGCACACTGATACATGGCATGGCTTTGTTTCTTAGCGGCTTCTTTAGATCGTTATTTGTGGTTGGTGTGGCAGCGGAGAATAGTAGGGAAAGGGTGAGAAGGAGGCAGATGATGATCTACTGTGCTGACAGTGGGGAAGGGAGCAGCCTATAGAAGAAGGTTTCCAACTCTCCAAACAAATTTCAAGTAAAAATGATAAAGAAAACTCAGCTGCTCTGCTACGCGTGGCTGTGTAAGTGTGCATCAATTACATTTGATTGACAAGGACCAACTCCATGTTGGTCCATGAAACAGCTGTTAATGCAAACTGCACAACTTTCCCAGTCGAAGGAAATGCAGTCAGCTCGGTGGGATTCAACATGAGCACGTCATTTTTGAGAGTTCTGTTCTTACTTTTTTATTAGGAAAGTCACTTTAATTACTTTGGAATAAGATGTTATGCACTTTGACGCACCAGCTAGTGCTTAGAAACATGAAACCCAGTCTACTGTCTACAGTCATGAGCTGTGTCCTAATTCCTAGGCCACATC